AATCTGCAGCATTCGCCTCTTGTTTAATGACATTTTTTTTTTTTTTTTATTTCAATTGATTCTAATAAATGAGCAACATTACGATCACTAATTAATCACATCGAAGATGATGCTTGAGAAAATTTCAATTACGCCATAAATTGCATATTCAAATTCTCAATAAAAATTTTATGTAAATATAATTTTGTTTGAGTACCATTGCGATCACTTGTTAATCACATCAAGAATGATGCTTGAGAGCACCCTAAATTTTAAATTTATAAAATTTAATATTAAATTGCATTAATAAAGGTTTATTTTTTATGTAATATACATATATACAGCATTTTATACAAAATTAATATGTGAATAATTTTTAACTAATTACAAATAACAAGAATATACAATATTAATTGTCAAGGGGTTTGTCACACTATATTAATAATAAAGTTCCTAATGCTAAGATTTTTTTTTCAAGTTCCAAAACACATTTATACTTTAATTTTAGCATCATAAATGTGCTTATCAAGAAAATCTTTCAGATCTTTCAGATCTTTCAGATCATTATATTGAATTTCCAAATCATCATTAACTATTGTGTGATGATTTGTTATGATATTTTTATGAAAAAAAACCTTCCGCATATGTCCCTATGGATTTATAGGTCGAGCATCTAAAAGAATTAAAATATTAATTATAAAGATGTAATGCTTTATAAAATGTATAATACTGTAAATAAATGTAATACCAAATAGAAAGACATCTAGTACTAAGGCCACCTCCCATAGCCAAAATGTTTGAAATCACAGACACCACCTAAAATAGCCAATAAAATTAATAGTTATATTATTATAATTTTATTATTATATAATTAGTAAATAACATACACTTTTATTTTTGACTTCGGTTTGTGTATCAATCACAAAATCATTAGGATCAATCATAAACCCTGATGCAGCTGATTTGTAATATGTAGCATTGCGTCCCGTGTTGTCTAGATAAATTGTTATTTGTCAAATAAGTTTTGATAAAAAAAATATATTCAATTAAAATATATCAAATAGTTTTTGTTAATATATATACATACAAATGGTTGTCGTTATATATGATTGCGTTTTATACTTTAATGGAAAACCAAAACTATCTCGAACTGAAGGTATAATTAGGTTGACCACATGTCTGGTCATTCGAATATGATAGGTCTAAAAACACAACATTTATTTTGCAATAAGTAATTATAAATATTATAGTATACGTTAATACTGTATATAAAATTATTATTTACCATATTACGACCTAGGAAATACCTATTTTTATGGAAGCATGATATAACAAAAGAGCCTGATCGCTCAAAATAGGTATTTTTTACAGCCTCTATGTACATATCTTCAGCCATTTTTTTTGTTGGCGTCATCAAATACGTTAATTGTAAAAACTGGAAAGTCAAGACCATCTACAATAGTATCATTGATAACATCAAACTTGAAAAGGATTCTTTTCAAGCGTTCAGATGTTTGATTAGTAGGAAAAGAGAGATTCTTTGGATCAAACTTTCTCGTATATTGGCCATTCACTGGATTAAGTGTAGGCTGTGTTATATAAGCTGAGCAATTGTTGAGAGTACTGTTATCATCTAAAAATAAACGAATAAGGATTACTAAATAATCTTATATAAAAAATTTAAACCGTGAATTGGTGCATTTTATATTTGACCTGATTTTAATATATATATTGATATATATATATCTGGATAACTTATCAAATAGCTTATCGAATAGCTGATAAATGGTTATCCGGATCCAATCTTTAGTTAGGGTCAAGGTTTGGTGCTTATAAAAATATTCAAGTATCACATAGTTTTATACTAATATAATTCACTAGTAAACAAATTACTCTTTAGTTAAAATATAATTTTTAATCAGTGATTAATAATGATTAAGCGCCTTTGTGTAGAGCTTTTGAGGTTGTTAATAGAACGGCATACTCCGGAACCACTCCAGGTTGAATCCTACACAAGTTGGATAGATTTAAAAACTGGTATAAATTTGGTGAAACCTGGAGCAACCCGAGGCAGTTCTGGAACAAATCTAATTAAATTGAATGGGCTTAAAATTGGATAAACTCAATAACAACCAAAGAAGTTACCTACATTAAAATTAATTTTGAATTTATAAAACAAATTTACAGAAAATTTCTTTACTATTTGCTTTATTCATGCAATTTTTAAAACCTGATTGACCCAATAAGTAAAATATATAATGCACCTAATTTTCATTAAAAAAAGATGAACTACCATAAACATCAAACAGTAGGAAATCGCAAGTGATCTTAAAGTCTAATTTAAGCTGCATGGAGATAACTGGCGCAGGAAATTCGCTGGTTTGAATATATTCATTGCTCATCGTTGAGATTTCATGAGTCACTCCTAGCAAGAGGATAATTGTGATGATTAACAAAAAACCAACAGACATTATTCTAAGAAGCACTCTGAGAATTTTAAACCCACGACTTTCACAACATTTATTATTGTCAAAACAATTGTAATTTACGCAAACCATTATTATCACTTTTTTTTTTAAAGGATTTAATAATTATAAAGTGGAGAAGTTAAAAAAATTAATTTACACAAGTTTTATTAATGCATATTTATATTGCATACAAATTTCTTTGCAACATTTCTTTTCGATCATGTAACAAAATTTTATT